GATGCTATTTTTTTGAAATAGTTGAGTTGTTGGGTGCTTAAGTTGATTTATGTTGTTTATATTGTGTAAGTTGACATGATGGATGAATTTTAAATATGTTGTATATTGCTAAAGTTGTTTATAAAATTGTTAAGCTGCATTAAGTTGATATTGTAATGACTATAGTTGTTTAATTAATTGTTTGCATGTTGTTAAAAATTATTAAAGTTGCATAGATGTATAATTGAATAAGAAGTTGTATAATTACATTAAGATGTATGATGAGTAGAAAGTGAAATGCAGAGATGCATGTTGAGTATAAAGTTGTATGTTGTGCCATGTGTTGAAAATATATTATAATGATTGAGTTGTAAAGTATGAGTTGAGCTAATAAGTTGTTGAGTTGATTGTGTTGTTAAATAACGTTGATGAGTTGTTGTGCTGATATACCATGTTGTTTAAAGTAGAAAGTTGACTGTGATGATGAGTTGTTGATCACTAGGACTATGAGAGATGTTTTTGAAATTGCTCATCCCATTGTGTGGATTGAGATAATTGTGGTGCTCTGAGAGCCCAATTTGTTGAAAAACCCTCCTTAGGAAGTTGTCCCTTTGAGTAGACGTTGTGTTGTTCTCCTCTAGGACTTAGTTGATCCCGTGTGTGGGCAAGGTCGAGGCACACGTGTACAAAGCGACCACGGTATAGGGGACAAGCCGAGCTATACCGATTACAAGCGGCCAGATGTTTATTGTTGTGAAGTTGTTATGGTGTCTATTGTTGTAAAGTTGGAAAGTTGGGGACATATGGTGAAGATATATGTCCTATGTTGAGATACATAGTACTAAGGTGATAATTTGAAAGTTGTTTTAAAGTTGAATCCCTTAGTACTGTGTGAGTGACATGGAAATAGTCGATCCATGTCATGGTTGAATGACCAATTTGAGTAAGGTATCTAGTTAAAGATGTAGTCTTTGACTAGGTACTGGAGGGTGCGTGGTACTTGGAGGGCAGTGGGTGGGCTAACTCCATATGTGGATTGGTGATGCTAGCCAAGGCTACGGTAGGCTCATACCCAAACCCTTCTGTCTTGACAATAGTACTGGACCTCCGAGTCTAAGTGGCTCACCTGAGAAATCGCCTATTGTTGTCTATACCTAGTTCTCTTTGAAGTTTCTAACGTTGTTCTATACCTGACCTGGTTGAGATAGGTCAAACGTTGGATTCGGTAGGGTTTATGCCACCTAGACTGCTCAACCTCAGTTATTGAAGATCTCCGAGTTGAAATGCGTGATGACGCATAAGTTGTTGAGAAGTTGATTTGTTGTTGATATGAGTTGTATATTTGTTGTTAAGTTGTGATTGTGTTATATGTTGACCTTGTTGAGGATGATAATAGTGTTGTTATGTTGTAAGTTGAAATGATGTTAAGATGTATAGTATATATGTTGTTTGTTTCATGTGTCGAATGCGAAGATGATTATATAGTTGTTATGTTGTATATTAAATTATTATTATGAGTTGTTTATTGTCTCTAGCTTACCCTTACATGTTTTCATGTGATTTGGACTCGATGATCATACGTTGTATGGGAGCAGGGCAGGGATAGACTGGAGATAGCTGCTAGAGGCCACAGGAGGTGCCTGGAGATGGATTTTTTTTGTAGGCTACCTAATAGTAGCATATTTTGTTGTATATGATTGGTTGTCGTTGGTTGCTTGATTAACAACTTGTATTGTAAATATTTTATTATACTATTTTAGTATATATATTTCAATAGTGTCTAGTGTTATTCGTAATGTGACGGCCATGGCGGGTCGTTACAATTATTTAACCGATTTTAAAAGTCTGACTTTTAAAATCGGTTAGGGAACCGATTTTAAAAGTTGAAAATAACCGATTTTAAAAGTTTTTTTCCACTAGTGCATAGGTGCGTAGTATCATCCTTTTCCACTTTCAAGCAAGTTGGAGATATCACATGAGTAGTTACAACAAACATCCAATTAGAGGACATCTTGTTTGACATTATAAAGCCTTTGTCAGACTTTACACACGTCATTTTGGAACACAATAATGAGATTTTTCTACTGGTGTTGGCCTATGCTTAACAAATTATTCTTTAATTTTGGAATATAGAAAACATCATAGATCACTTATGTAATCCCAACAATCTTCAGTTTAACACTCCCACTTCCTTTCATAATCATTCTTAAGTTGTCACCAAGTTTTACAGATTATGTGAATTTGTCATCCAAATCAAAAAAACCATTCCTTGCAGCCACACATGTGGTTGCTACACCATGAATCTAGAAACTAATTTTTTTTTCTTCAATGGCTTTCTTCTCATCACCAAAAGACACAAGTAGCATCTCTTCCTATTCATCAAACTTTTCATAGTTTGCTTTTTCTTCATGATTGGGGCACTCATATTGATAGTGTCCCAACTTATGACACTTGAAGCATTCCACTGGATTTTTATCAAATTGTCTACCTCTGCCTTTGCCTTGACCCCTACCTCTACCTCTTGATTTACCAAAACCCATGACCTACATGGCTTGTTTCTCCTCTTTGAGCCTTTTCATTCTTTGTTCATGAACCAAAAGACTACTTTGTAATTCATCAATAGTCATGGTTTGAACATCTTTGAATTCTTCAATTGAGCAAATCACATAGTCAAATCTTGTTGTCATGGATCTAAAGATTTTCTCCATAATTGTAAGTTGTTCCATCTTCTCACCATGTATCTTCATAATAGTCAAGGTTCTTGCATAGTATTCATCCATAGATTCATAGTTTTTTATGCTAAGAATCTCAAATTCTCTCCTTAGAGTTTGTAATTGAGCCCTTTTGACCTTTGTGGATCCTTAGTATTTCTGTATCATAGAGTCCCAAATGGCCTTTGCTGAACTCTTGTCAAGAATTGTCTCCATGATGCTTCGATCAATTGCTTGAAAGAGATAATTTTTTGCCTTCAGATCTTTTAATTTGCTTTCTTCAATATTCTTAACTGCAACTATTCCATCCTCCACCAGATTCCAATACTCCTTTGATTTAAGGAGATTCTCCATCAACATTGACCAATGATCATAGTGACCATCAAATTTCGGAATTGCAACTTGCACAAAGCTCCCTTCTTCCATGACACTTCACAAGATTCTCTCTTACTCTCTTCACAAAAACTACAGTTTTTGTGTATCAAGTCTCGTGAACCAAGCTCTTGATATCAAAATGTAGAGAAACAGAATGTAGAGTTAAGAAAGAATGGATTTCAAAGATCCCCTGTTTACTCCTCAATTCATGATGTCCTTTTATAGGCTAGATTACAAGAGTTAGTTGTAACAGACTTCTCAATAACAGAAAACTAACATTCGAACAAATCTTCCCTTAATACTGAACTTGTAAATGATAATTTAGCATTAACTACACAATTCAATCATTATATGTCTGTATTGTTATAAATAATTACATACGTAATGCTAAAAAAATACTAAAGTGAAGGAAACAAAATATCTTACAGCTTTAAACATCCCAAAAAATTGTTGGGAATAGAGCAAACTTGCTAAAATTTAGTAAAAGAAAGCCAAATACTTAAATAAAATGTGGAGGAAAAAAAAGTAGAATAGGCTAAATTGTACTTGCAGCATTGGAGAAGATGTCATCTCTAGTGATGGTGGGTAAGAGAATAGGAGGTCTTTAGTATTCAACAGTTATAATATAATAAAGTTAAAAAATTGGATTCCATTCTATGCACTTCAAATCAAAGGGATTAAACAATGGAATGAGATTCATCAGTTACCATCTTTTTTCTTCTCCTCTCATCTTTAATTTTAACAATGGAATGTTTTTCTTATCCACTTCACCATCAATCCAAACAAAATCATATACTTAAAAACTTTAATTTCTTGAAAAAACATTTTCGTTCAAAATTATTATTATTCTAATTTATATAGAACAAAGATAGAATATATACAGTGACAGAGATTATATTGGGTTAAAAAAAACAGACTTGGATTAACTTAAACTACTAAAAATTTAAAACAAGAATTTTGAAATGTAATTTCTAGAAAACAAAAAGAAAATTTTGAAAAATACTTTTCTAAAAATAAATAAATAAAGAAATTTACTCTTTTGACTAAAAGGATAACGTCTAAAAGGAAATTATATTAATATTAAAAAAAGTAAATTTACTCTTTTGACTAAAATGATAATCTCTAAAAGGAAATTATATTAATATTAAAGTTCAAATGATAGAAACCAACTAATTATCCTGTCACTATTTCTAGAATCTATTATTAAAAGACTATAAGAAAGATATAAATAAAATGAAATTAATATTCATATTTTTTTTTGTCTTATAAGTTAAAAGGAATATATATTTATAATTTAATAACTACTAAAGATGATCCTACATGTGTCATCACCCTATTTAAGAAAATATAAAATAATATTAAAATTAAATATAATAATATTCTAAGATTATCTTATGAAGTCTTTGGGTCATTAAATTTTCTTTCTTTTGGGCCTAAAGTCCATCCTAACATCAAACTTACTTTTGTAACTGTTTGGATAAGTATTGAGAACTAGTACGGTTGATTCCGATAGGTACCATTACCGTAATTGGAAATCAAATCCAATATATGTTAGCATTTGTTCTAAAGTGCTTTACGCGCGCAACGACAATTAATCTTTACAGTAAACGAAAACTTAAAAAAAAAAAAAAAACGGTTACTTTACTGTTGGAATATGGCGCCCCCCTGATTATCATACCATTTATTATTCATCACAGGTCTACTTTTTCATTTATTCAAAAATTCTTAAATTGCCATAATTATTTGGCTGGCATTTGTGATATATATTCATATATTTATGTTTCAAACCTTAAATATAGAATAGAACAAATATTTAATTATATAATTATTTTTATTTACTATCCTTCTATCCAAATGGATTAGACGCTAATCTTCCAAAGTGAAGATTGTACATGAAAACAATACATGATATGTGCAACGTTTGGTACAATAATATCAAGAAATATTCAGCACATGAGATCTTATAATATGCTGGCTCAGATAAATGAAACTAATAATCGGATGACAATTGAAATTACACAACAATACTTGTCTCGTATGAAAGAAATCTACATTCTAATACAATCAATGAAGAAAGAAAACACACTTGCACATTACACTCAACACTGTACACCTATTAAGGTAACTAACAAGTTAACAATCAATCAGCTTCCAACATAACCATGTAACTACTATTTACATTCTCAGCCTAACATTGGACATAGATTACAACACAACAAGAGATGATGGCAAAGCTCTACAATCAGCAGTATCATATGCACCAAAAAATTGTTTATACAGCCACTTCCATGAGCTCTACAGTTTCATGGTCCGGTCCAGAAGTTCCTAAAACCTCCACATCTTTATTACCATTCTCAACACCATTCTTGTTACTACCATCATCATTGTTATTGCTATCATTACTGTTATCATTATCATCACCAATATCTTCATTATCACAACTTCCATGTATCTCAATACTGTCAACTTGAGTACATTTTTCAGAAGAGGGTTTATTATCCTGGACACAGTCCCCATCTTCAGCAGAGCCATCACAACACACAAATTTCTCTTCTTCATCACCATTAGGCTTATTACTAACAAGATCACCATGACATGAATTAGCAAAACCAACAGAGTCCACATCTTTGCCGATAGATGGGGACACGGAAAGCTTTGTGTTAAAGCTATTATTAGCTGTGAATACAGTTGTGGTTATTTCAGGTTTTGCTTTAATGTTAATCCAACTGTCCCCTAACCAATCTCTAGATATTCTTAAATCCTTCTTGCACATTTTCATCAACAAGCATTCACCTGATACCACCAAAACAGTTCTCTATGAATAAATGGAGAAAGATGAAATGGTTTAAAGAAAGGCCTCAAACAAGGCAATAAAACAGCATACCGGGAAAGTAGACTTGAACACTATCATCACCACAGTTGTCAATTCTAGTTACAACCCCCTCCCACCAGCCATCACTCCACCATGCATCAACTGCAATTCCAACCTGGACAGCCGGTTCTTGTTCCTCGTAAGGTGGAGCTGGCCTGATGGTGGGGCGACCAGAATACCTCATCCCAAGTTTATCAGGCCTGGCCAACTTGAAAGCAGGGATCCATTCCTAAAAAATGGAGAATATCCAGATAAATTTTTTGAACTGGAAAAATAACTGGTGTAAAAGTACGTGATAAGTGAATCTACACAATATTTTCTTTGGGATATTTTTCTTTTCATTTGGTGCTATAACTAAATTTTCCACATATATCATTCCAGGTCTAAAACTGTATCATTTTTGAATTTGGCATTGAAATCCATGACATTATTGGCCATCCCTCTAACCTCTACATTTTTAAATAAAAATATAATTGAATTTCTTGAATTGCACTTAGACTCATATCCATGTATAAAACCTGCCTATACCCCCGTCATTCTCACATAGCCATTACATAGCAAAGAGATTAAACGAATTGTTAGAAAATATCTCTAGCGCAATTAGTTGATTGTTACTCTCATGAGATTCAATTTTGAATGAAAAAGACTTCACACAATAGATCCTGATAAATTAGCATATTATTTAGAATAGTTTATTCCAGGAGTACCAGATCCTTGATTAACCCAGTATAACTAATTAACTATAAATATAATCAACATTAGGCTTAAACTAGAATGATTTCCATTTCAATAAAAAAAAATACTATTATGTCATCACCCTGTGAGATTTTGCTTAAACTTCAACTGCAAGGATTAAAAAACACTGCTCACCTAACTAGATGCTAAAAGCCTAAAACACCTAAATGGAGCCCTACCTGAACACCTAAATTTCATTTTTTTGGGTAATGATAAAACCCTAAATGGAGCCCCCTTTATTTATCCACATATTTTACAATAGAACTAAGTACTAACACAGAAAATTGAATTTAGAATAATTCAAAAGTTTGATTATACCTCAAGATTTCCACTTCCATCTTCATCCTGGACATCATCGTATTGGACTCTCAACTGTTTCCGCGCTACCTGAACAACTGTACACCTGAACCAGCAGCCTCTGATGCCACTATCTTGACAGAGCAACTCTATCTTGTCATCAATCTTGTATGTGTGGTTAGACCAAGGTTGACACTCAACCTGCTTCAAAGAAAGCAATATCCTTTCGGGCCTTGCATAATTTGCAACCTGGAAGGTTTTGTATACCATCATTTGCTTATTTCTAATTAACTTCCTAACTCCCTGGCGACTTATCCATGACTGAGGAGACCCCTTATCACTTCTGCTCCTCTTGGCTCCTACCTTCACATCATCACCTGCACTAAACTCTTCATTTTCTCTTGTGAGTTTCTCAGGGTTCTGGGTTGAATCAAGGTGCAAGCAAGAAAGAATTGGTTGAGCATGGTAGCCACGCAGTTTACTCAAGTCAAAGGGCTTGACTTTGTTGCTTCTAAATTGTCTAAAGCACAAATGTATTCTCTCTGTTGAAGTGGGGGAAAAGAAAGGCATGCATTTTTCATAGTGTTCACGAGTTAAGACTGTGGCAGGACCATCTACACACTCTGCACTAATGACTTGAGAATAAGGTGTGATAAAAACTTCCCGAGGGTGAGGATTTCGTACGGGAACTACACCCTTGACTTCCTGATTATGGTGAAACCATCTCACTTTGACCTTTTTCTGTCCCCTCCTGTCTTCATACATATCCTCTACATAAGCAATATAATGATTCTCTCCCTTTCCCATAACAAAAACAAAGGATTGAATCTGGAAATCAGAAAGAATGCAAATGTTAGATATTAAACCATCTAGATATTATGTACATGAAAAAAAAAAATACTTTTTTTAACTGGTTGGATTTTGGGGAAAGGGAGGAACATGATGGCACTAAGCAAATGCCAAAATGTATTGCACAATTAAATATGCATTTCATCGTAAAGGAATTTGCCTGTAATGCAAACCTAAATATGGACATCATTATGGAATTTACTTGTCAATACTGCAAGAAATTAATTAGAAGTTACTTATTAATGATACGATGTTAATTAGAAGTTGATGCTTTAACTGAGGAGAAGCTGACAACTAAACCAGAAGTAAGATCATTGTTACAGATATTGTGAATATATTACAGATATTGTGGATACATATATTATGGGCTATTATCCTCACTATCAATTAGGGATATGATTAGATTAGTTTCCATAATATTAGAGATTAGTATCTCTATCATTTATTGTATTCACTCTATAAATAAGATTGGTATGTGTACAACAATACACACAATTCCTGAATCACAACATGGTATCAGAGCTTAGGTTTTTCTTTTAGAATATATTTTTCTCTCTTCTTGCAAAGGCCCTTGCTGCCACCTCCGGCTGCCGCCGGCCGCCCCGCCTGCCGCTTCCGATCGCCGACTCCGACCGCCACTTCCGGTCGCCGCTTCTGGTCGCCAACTCCGACCGCCGCTTCCGGTCGCCACCTACAACCGCTTCTAGTCGCTGACTCCGACCGTCGCTTCAGGTGGCCGTCGCCTCCGATCGCCGCTTTCGGTCGCTGCCTCCGATCGCTGCCTCTGGCTGCCTCCGGTGACCAGTTAGCAGATATGTTCACAAAAATCGCTTAAAGGACCTCGGATTGATTACATTTGTAACAAGCTTGGTGCATATGATATATATGCTCCAGCTTGAGGGGGAGTGTTACAGATATTGTGAATATATTACAGATATTGTGGATACATATATTATGGGCTATTATCCTCACTATCAATTAGGGATATGATTAGATTAGTTTCCATAATATTAGAGATTAGTATCTCTATCATTTATTGTATTCACTCTATAAATAAGATTGGTATGTGTACAACAATACACACAATTCCTGAATCACAACAATCATTAAGGAAATTAGTTTAAGGGAATCTTACCGCAATTTTGATGCCATTCCTGGAAAAAGTGGGATAATGCTTAAGTTGTTTGCCACATCTCCACGCAACTCCTGACCAAACAATGTCTGAATTGGATAATTTGGAGCTACTCATTGGAAAGTCCTGAGAAACAGAAGTATGTGGATGTCAATAACAATCGCTAGAAACTATATAAAATAGAGAAAGTGGGACAAAAAGGGACATACCTTGTCATCTGTTATTTGTGCAGGATGACCAGTAATTTCATTGACATTGTCATTTGTTGTCTCATGAGTTTGTACCAAGTTATGACCAGGTGATACTGTGATTTAAAATACAAAAAATATAGAAGAGATAAAATGATTAGCAAGATCATAGACAAACTTAAGAAGAAGAAAAAAAATAGAAGAGATAAAAGGATTAACAAGATCATATATGGCCTTCCTTCCTGTTTCTAAGCTAAACCTTTTCAATATTAATTGAAATGAAGAAATGAATAAAGGATGATAAGAGGAGCTTAAATTTATTATCCAGGAATTTACTGCATTAAAGATTAAATACAGATTAATTGCAGGTTACTACCTCAACTTTCCTGTAATCATAAATTTACACTTTCTTTACCCTTAATTCTATTGTTAGCACTGCTTTGCATGGAACCAGGGACAGAACTTAAAATTTTATTTAACCTACATTAACTATACATATTAATAGAAAATTGTAATCAAAGGTATCAAGAATAAAGTAAAAATTATCAAGCTATAAAAGTAACTAATATATTATAAGAGTTAATTACTTATACACTGTCAGTGTAAAGTTTTTTTACACTGGCAACCAATTATATCTTTTAATTGTGCCATGTCACTATAAACACATTTACTTTTAACAGTGACATGGCACAACTAAAAGATATAATTGGTTGCTAGTGTAAAAAAACTTTACACTGACAGTGTATAGGTGATTAACTCATTCTATAATGAGGTTTAATAGGATGCCCTATAAGTGTAGAAGTTTTTTAAAAGTCAACCAATCAGGAAGTACCATTGTATGACTTTTATGGTAGTAATTAAAAAAGTCAACAAACTTATCATACATGGCAGTTTGTTATTAGATAATAGGGTAAAAAATATTCATTGTCAGTGCATATATTACTTATTCTACTATAATAATATCATCCTAAATTAAAGGCAATAGTATGAGCATGTCTCAGGTGTGTTTTTAGCTGAAGAAAAGAGAAGAGAGGGAGAAAGATTCATTATAATTTATGACAAGACAACAATGCATATATTGAGGAAAATAAAAGTTTTACAAAATGATCCATTTAAATATGCATATGCATCATGCCATCCTGTAACAGACAGTGGCACAAAATATTTATTGAACCACATCCATGTGGTTTGCCTTAGTCTTTCCGCAAAAGCATATATCATTGTTCATTAGTCTACATCACTTTGTTGCTCATAAAGCCAGGGCTACCTATGTTATTTTCCACAATATAGTTCAACCAACAATAACCAAAGACATTACAAATGACTGCAACGAGTTAAAGTAAAGAAGTATCAACTTACCACTTCTATCTCCCTGCAGATTCTGCTTTGATAGTGTTGATGTCAGCCAATCCACCACCTCTCTTCTAGATCTCCATTTGAAACCAGTTGGAATGGAACCTTCCTTCCCACAAACTTCAAGGAACTCTTCAGCAACAACATAGCACATGTGTCTAACACTTCTCTCAGTGCCTACCACTGCAAGAATGGACTCACCAGCAGCATCCTTCAGGTAATAGTGAACCACACGGTTACCACGCTCTTGTGAAACAAACTGCTCTTTCCATTCCACGAAACAGCGATTGTTCACAGCCATCTTAAAGAGAATACCAACAGGAGTTAACACAACACCAGATATGCACTTGATTTCAAAGCAGTGGCAAAGGGTGCAGACCCTTTTGATTCATTATTCTAAAAGGACAATCAAACAAATCCGTAGTCATCAAGCAAAAGCCTTCTACCATACCATCATCCTAATAAAAAAATATTAAAAAAAAAACCTTTAGAACCTCAGTTTCCTCACTCCTTGGAAGAGCCCTACTCAGGGAAACACAAAGATGTCCACTACAATAAAACTAACCAGAATCCTCAAAATCCAAGTACTTTTTCATGTGGGGAAAAAGTCAGAAACCCTAATTAAAAACACATGACCTTCAAAACTACATCAACCACAAACAAACAGAATCCTCAGAAAAATTAAGAAGGGCCTTGAAATCAGAGAAAAATATCATCACTAAAGTGACCCCCTTTTTTCAATCTCACAAGCCTCCAAAGAAGGCTGACCATCTCCTGAAACTGCAAATGCTCCAAAGTTGACCACAGCCACAAAACTTCAAACTAACATCTGTGCCTCCAAACAGATCAGAGAGAAACCCGTCAGGAAAACTGATCCAGAGGCTGAAAAATCCAACAGGCAGAGGAAAATTGAGCCTTTGGCGGCTCCAAAGGTAACAATCAGCCAAAAGGCCAAATAGGTATCCCAATTGAGAGAAGAAAAAGAAGTTTCCTTCAGAAAGGTTGAAACTTTATAGCATAAACCGAGGAAAAATGGTGACGGTGATCCTGGGTGACTGAAGAAAGAGGAAATTGGGCAAGGTTGGTTGTGTGAAAAAGCTGAGGAGTAAGATATGGGGTGGGAGGGAGAGAAAGGGAGGTCACAGATGATGAAACGGAAGAAGAAGATGGTACCTTACAATTGCCATGAACATGGACATGGAAAGAGAAAGAGAGAGTTGCAGAGCTGAAGAGGTGTGCGTCCAATGCAGCCGCAAGTGTTGTGTTATAGAAAATAAAAATAAAAACCAAAAAAACAAAAACAGAGAGAGAGAGAGAGAGTGGGGACCTCGTACTGGTTAGGTTGCAATTTTATTTTTTAGAGGGTTTTGTGGAATTATAGGTAAAAAGAAAAACTTACGTGGGATGAAATCTATTTATTACATGAGAAATGACAAAAAAAAATTTATTGGTGCATGAGAAATGACAATGATGAAGTATTTTTGCTAGAGATGGCAAAGTGGGCCATGGCCCGCGGGCCGGCCCGTTGGCCCGCCAAAAATTGGCGGGCCGGGCCAAGCATTTCAACCCGCCAACCCGCCAAGCCCGCCCCGCCAAGCCCGCCAACCCGTCGGGCCAAATAGCGGGCTGGCCCGCCACAACCCGCCGGCCCGCATATATATATATTTTTTAATTTAATTATTTTTATGTTTATTTTATTTTGATGTAGAAGATGAGGATGAAGATGATTAAGAAAAAAAGTAGAGACATCTTCTTTCAAGAGAGCTTCTAATATTCTTAGAATAAAAATTTAAAGTTAATTAATTGTATTTAAACTTGTTTGTGGACTATCAAAAAATTTAGTGTATAAATAATTTGTAAGTTTATAATTTAGTTTTGATTTTGGTGTAAATGGACTAATTTCTATTTGATTTTGTTTTAAGTTTGTAATTTGTTTTTGTTGAACATATATTAAGTACAATATGTATGCATTTTTAATTTCATATGATTATATTTATTTATTTGTAGCAAAAAAAATTTTATTTAACCATAAAATAAATTTTTTTTCCTTTTTTTTTATTTTTTATTTTTGTAAGCGGGCTGGCCCGCCAGCCCGCCAGCCCACCCTTAGGCAGGGCGGGCCAGCATCTCCAGCCCGTTTTACATTGGCGGGCCGGGCCGGCCCGCCCCGTTTTTGGTGGGCCAATGGCGGGCCGGGCCAAAACGGGCCGGGCTGGCCCGTTTTGCCATCCCTAATTTTTGCTGTAGGAACCGTTGACACGCTGAAGTTTTAAAATTTATATAAGTTTCTATATCTTTAATAATTTTTTTTTAGAGTTAATCATTGATATACTGTTAGTGTAAAAAATTTTTACACTGATAATCAATCATATCTTTTAGATTATTTTATTTTATTAAATGAGCAATTGATATAACATATGATTGGTTCTCAGTGTAAAAAAACTTTACACTGATAGTGTATGAGTGATTAACTCATTTTTTTAATACAAATTTTACTAATGTAACTCATAAATTATATAATTAATATTTATAATTATATTATCAAATTCATATAATTTAATTTTTTTAAAAGTATATTACTAATAATGGGTATATACATTAATTTAAGTATCATTTATATAATTATATATTAAAATAAAATAATATAATGAACTACTAAATAATTTTATAACATATTTCTTCTCTTTTCTATTATAAAAAAAACATTTTATATATATTAAGAAAATCAGTTATGTATATTAAATTTTATTGATCTCATAATATTTTTCTTAAATTGTCTTGTTATAAATGACAAAAGAAGTAAGATAATTGAAAATTCATGCATTAAAGGATAAATAATTTTTAGAGAATATTATTAAATGAGATAAGTAATTAGAATCTGTTTTTATTTAAAAATATAAAAAATATATATATGTGTGTATTTTTTTTCTTATAATAGATAATACAAGACTATTAAATTGAATAGTTTACACTTGTAATCCCTATATTTTTTTTCCAGATTGCACCTAATACTCCCCCATTTCTTAAACCTATGGTGAGACTCCTTAAAAGTTAAAAAGATGTTATATTGTTTCCAACAATTGTTCACTCTCTACACTTACAAAAGATAGAATCATATAGCATCTGGCTCCCTCCTTCAACAAATCCTCAACTTGCATAGCAAATATCAATCCCTTTTTTTCAACATCAAGAAAGATTAACTCCCTCTTAGCATAATCAATAACGACATGGTTAATGGATAACTAGTCTATTCCCAAAATCACATTCAAACCCACTAAAGGTAAACATGTCAGCTTAACTTTATAGCAACGCCCAAACACGTCAACAAAACATCCCAAGCAAACATCAAATGTAAACACAAAAGTAGAAGTAGGAGTATTCACATCCAAATAGCTTACAACTAACCTCAACTTCCCTACATAATCAATAGATATAAAGGAATGTGTGACACTTAAGTCAAAAAAGATAGATACCTCCTTATAAGTCACCTTGCCCTTCCCCCTCATTAGATCCAATGAAGTGAAAGCTTTAGCCTCTGACAATGCAAACACTTGGCCTGCAATTGTAGGCCTCTTCATTCTCAATGCACTCCTAGCTTGAGTAATCCTATTAGGACAATCTCTAGTTATGTGTCCGAACCTACTACAATGGAAACACTAAGAGTCCTTGGTTGTACAGTCTTTGACAATGTGAGGTCCTCCACATTTGTAACATCTCACACCTTGAACTTCTCCTTAAGGTGTAGCACGAGACTTCCTTGGGACAAAATCCCTCTGTTGCAACTAAGGTCTATTATAAAGGCTTCATCTAGCTACTCTCTCTCTTAGACCTGGTTGATCCCTCAATAACCTTCACAATATGGCTACTACCCCTGTAACAGCCCATTTTTTGTGGGCCTTTGGCCCAATTCGTGGCCCAGAACGAGCCGTTTCAATTTTAAAACGAGTCGTTCTGGAATAGTGAGTATGGCAAAAATTGTAGAAGCAGAATGGGCCATTCTGGTTTGGAGAACAGGCCGTTCTGGTTTGGAGAACGGGCCGTTCTGGAATTAGAACGGGCCGTTCTGCTGGGTTTGAGAACGGGCCGTTCTGGTTTGGGAACGGGCCGTTCTGGTTTGGGAACGGGCCGTTCTAGTTGAAAATTTTACGTAGGTTTGAAAGACCCAGAATGGGCCGTTCCGATTTTGGAACGGGCCGTAGTGGTAGGTGGGCGAAAAATCCTATAAATAGGCCTCAAATCCTCTCATTTCTACACACCTCTCATTCTCACTCTCTCTTCTCTTCTGTTCTCTCTTTCGTTCCTCTTCTTCTCTCTGAAGACCAAGGGGAACTCAGAGGATGAGGTTCTGCTCCAGT